TGATCTTCTCCATCCTCATCATGACCATCATAATTCTCCTCCTCCGCATGCTACTGCTGTCTTTTCCTCCTCATCATCGTCGTCATCATCATCATCAGCAGCAGCAGCAGCAGCATTAGCATCATCATCATCGTCTCCCCCCTCCGCCTCCTCCATCCTCTTCCTTCTCCTCCTCCTCCTCCGCCTCCCCCTCCTCCTCCTCCTCCTCCTCCTCCTCCTCCTCCTCCTCCTCCTCCTCCTGCTATGTTTCCTCCCTTCTCCTCCTCATCACGCTCCTCCTCATCCAACTTTTCCTCCTCCTCCTCCTCCTACTCCTCTTCCTCCTCCTCATCATCCTCTTATTATTCTTCTTCTTCCTCCTCTCCTCCTCCTCCTCCTCCTCCTCCTCCTCCTCCTCCCTCCTCCTCCTCCTCCGCCTCCTCCTCCTCCTCCTCCCCCTCCTCCTCCTCGCTCCTCCTCCTCCTCCTCCTCCGCCGCCTCCTCCTCCTCGTCCTCATCCTCCTCCTCCTCCTCCTCCTCCTCCTCCTCTCCTCTTTCTCCTCCTCCTTATGCTCCTCCTCAGCCTCCTCAACCTCTTCCTCCTCCTCCTCCTCTTCGTCCTCGTCTTCGTCTTCCTCCTCCTCCTCCTCCTCCTCCCCCTCCTCCTCACAGGTTTCCTCTTGCCCTCCTCCTCCTCCTCCTCGTTCTCCTCCTCCTCCTCGTCCTCCTCCTCCTCCTCCTCCTCCTCCTCCTCCTCCTCCTCCTCCTATGATTCCTCCTTTCTCCTCCTCCTCCTCCTCATGCTCCTCCTCATCCTCCGTTTCCTCCTCCTCCTCCTCCTACTACTACTCCTCTTCTCCTCCTCATCATCCTCTTCTTCTTCTTATTCTTCTTCTTCGTCTCCTCCTCCTCTCCTCTTCATGTTCCCCCTCCTCCTCCTCCTCCTCCTCCTCCTCCTCCTCCTCCTCCTCCTCTCCTCCTCCTCCTCTCCTCCCCCCTCCTCCTCCTCGTGCTCCTCCCTCCTCATCCTCCTCCGCCTCCTCCTCCCTCCTCTCCTCCTCCTCCTCCTGCTCCTCCTTCCTCCTCCTCTCCTCCTCCTCCTCCTCCTCCTCCTCCTCCTCCTCCTCATCCTCCTCCTCTTCCGCCTCCTCCTCCTCCTCCGCCTTCTCCTCCTGGCATTATTAGTTGTAGTAGCAGTACCCGTCTTAAGATATCTATAATTATCATGGTTAGAAATATCGTTACTAGGAACATCATTACTAGTTGCATCAAACGTATTATGATCCAGGATACTGCCATTATGAATATTAGCATCACCATTCGATTATTTGTAGTATTGATACTATTGTGAAAATAGAAATACAAATAATAACAACAACAACAACAACAACAATAATAACAACAACAGTAATGTTAGTGGCAATTTCATCAGTGTTAGTATTAGCATTCGTATCATTATGATTATGTATAATATTAGTAATAGAAAACACAATAGACGTAGTATTAGTGGCAGTGTTATTGTTAGTACTGGTATCAGTAATATCAAGTTTAGTACTATTACTGGTAATATCGTTAGCCGTGTTCTCATTACTAGTAGTACTATGAGTAATCATGCTTGTAGTCGAATATAATGGTACGTTTTATTACTAGTCGTAAGCATTACATTATACGTATTAGCAATACTGATACTATTGGTAGTACTATTAACAATGCTAGCCTCAGTGTTATTATTACGATATGCACGTGTTAGTAGTATTACTAGTATTGTGATTGTTGAGATTAGAATTAGTATGACGATTACTAACATTACCAGTCATCCTTACTACTACAAATAATAACAATATGATTCGCATCATTAGTATTACGATTACGAATAATAGAAATATAAATAATATTGTAACGAGTACGAGTATGATTACTACTATTAGCACTAGTACCATTAACACGATTGCGATTATGAGTACGTAACAGATTGTTGTTAGTATTGGTGTTGTTACTACCACTACTCTTAACAATACTATCTTCTCAGTAGCATTACGAGTAACACGATCGGTGTTGCTAATATGTGTCGTAGTGTCATGTTTCATATTGAGCGTATTACGAGTGTCCGTATCATTCGTATGGCGATTATTAACCGCATGACTATTAATACTATTGTGGTGTAGTGTTCGTTATATTATTATTCGTATTATCAATTTCCCTCCGGTTTAATAATCGCATTGTTATGTGTATTATTATGCGCCCTCTTGTTTTACTATTCCTGCTAACATTATGTGCGTTCGCATTACTCATATTGGGTGTAGTACTCATGTTCATGATTGCTCCTCTTCTGAATATTAACCATATTCCTTGTCCTCCTCATCCTCCTCCTCCTTTTCATCCTCCTCCTCCTCATCTCATCCTCCTCCTTCTCCCCCTTTTCTCCCTGAACCAACTCCCATCCCACGGAACTCCCCATGTCCCACTGGTCCTGCAGTGGTCGGGTTTGCGACCGCCGCGGCGGCTCTTTGCTGCTGGACACCTGGCTGGCAGTCGGAGAAAAAGGGGCTGACGGACGGACGCTCACATGCGCGCGGAAGCGCGGCCCCTCCAGGAACGGAGCGGTGGCGTCGTGGCGATAAGTTTTCAAACAGAGATGGGGCAACATGCTGGCAATGCCGTGTGTGCGCGATGCAAGATGGGGCAGGGGAGAAGACGGGGAGTGGAAGCGAGGAGCAAGAAACGGAGAGACGAGGGGAGGTTCGAGGTTCGGGAAAATCAAGTTGCGGTGGCGTTTCCCCTGTTGTTCGGGCCTCCTGCTGGTTCCCCGCCGCCACGGTGACTTTGCGCCGCCACGACTGGACGCAGGGTTTCGCAGCGGGCGGGGGGGGGGGAGTGAAATGGGGGTCGAGGAGCGAGGGCCCGAGCTTCGAGGTTCAAGGTTTGGAAACTTCCACCTGCCACGGTTTCCGATCGTCGACTCGGCTGGATGTCCTGCAAGATTCGAATCACGCCCCTCGCAATGTCTGGGGCCGCATAGCAGACGGAGGGGCTGGAGGACTCGAGCATCGAAGTTTGAAGGCGTTTGTCTTTTCGGACCTCATGAGCTTCTCGCCGCCACGGCTGGATTCCCAATCTGGCTCGAGAATACCCTTGGACGGCTTGGGCGTCGATTGTGGACCCCCGAACCCAACGAGGAGAGGGAACTCTGACCCGCTCGCGCCGCGGGAACACAAAAAGCACGACGGGCATGTTTCGGAAGTGGCAGGCCTCCAGCAGTGGTCTTACCAGACACTTCGGAACGGGGGGAACCTTCCAAAAAAAAATAAACACAAAAATGCATCTGAGCGCTCCCAACGTGCCGTAGGCACTGAATTGAGTGTTGTCCGATCCTCTCGGACGCTCGATATGGAATATGATACATCACGACTTGTCCAGAAGCCGCGAGCGCGTGTTTGGGAATACACACTCCCGTCGTGGCTTAAGATGGCCGCAGGCCCCGCCATGGACACCTCGTCGGGGCCTCTCGGGCCGTCTTGGAGGCCCTGGGGGGCACGTCCAAAGAGGCCATAAAAGCTTGAAAGCGTGTAATTGCGGAATGAGCTTCGCAATCGCGCATCTTTGTTTCTTCCTAATGAAAGACGGCCCCAGGTGAAGACCCCAACCATAGCTCGAAAAGGCCCTCGAAGCTCCCACTGGGGGCCCAGGAGGCCACCAAGATGGCCCGAAGCGGGGCCCAGAAGGGGGAACCCAAACTAACGTTTCCAGCTGTTTCCCCACGCTGGCCCCCGAGACCGCCAGCCCCAAGACGCCGCCGGCAGGCCCCCCAGAGGCCCCAAAAGACTGACAAAATGTCACCAAAACGCCAATTCTCTGACTGCGAAGGCAAAGCACCCTCGACATGAAGGCGTGAACAGCACCGTCAAGAAGCACAAGTTGGGAAACAGATCTCCAACCATTTCTATCGCGCATAAATCTGACCATGCGCACGGAGAGCGCTCGCCGCACACAACATTATGGATCCTCGCGTTGCCGCGTCATCTGTTGCGGCCTGTCACTCTCGCGTCTGCACCTGGAAAGCTGCCCCCACGCGCTTGACCACATCGCACGCACCTGGCCCGCTGCAGATGGTTCGCCCCCTGCTGCGTGACCTGCGTTCTCGGTGGGCACTCGCAGGGCAAGCGCGCATGCCTCGCACATGAAACGCACTCACTCATGCAACGCGGCCCAACGCCGCCGCCAGCGCCCCCGTCTCCAAGGTAAGACATGCACGCGCACCTCCTGCATGAAATGGAATTCCGCACCCTCTCGTGGTTTCTGGCGAAGTACTGCAGCGCATACAAAATTTCACTCGTCGCGGTCGCTGCTGCCGTCGCCCGAGTCGTCGCTGTCATCCTAGTTCTTGTCTGCTCTCGTATGTGGCGGCGTGGGGGGCCTCTACCTTCTCGCTCTTGTTAGTTTCTCTCGTACTACTCGTGGTACTCTTGTTTTCTGCCTGTGGGATCATCCTCTTCGCGTCGTCCGAGTCATCTCCACTCGTTACAGCGCGACGCCATCCCACTGCCGGTTCGATTGTATTCAACGCTCTAGCCAGCCCGCAGTCTGCGGCTTCTGATTATGTTCTCCGTCGATCAGGTCGTCAAATCTTCTCTGGGCATAGCCGTCGTCCTCCTCTTGGCACTCTGTTGTCCGTCATGCTCGCTCTCGGAGTCTGGATTGAAAATGTCGCTGCTTTCGCTGGCGGTCTTGACCACCGTCGGCCCCTGCGCGTTACCCGTCGGCCCCTTGATCGTCCACGCCCGCAACTGTTACTTGAAGTTTCCCGTCGCGAGAAACTCCTGCTTGCAGAAAAAAACCACCGCCCTCGCCCTTGCACGGCTGCCGCTTCCTCCCACGGGAAGGAACGTGGCTCGTCATACTTGACCTCGCGAACCGAATCCACGATGTTCTGGAAAGTCACCTGGAGGATAAAGTCGGCATTTCCAAACCCTGGCGCGCGATGGCCTTGCCAGCGCCGTCCTCGCAGCTAAGACCTGCCCGCCTTGCCCCGCCAATGTCATCGATCTTGGCAGGCATGCCCGTTGCCGCGCCGGGCGCAAAAATAGCTGCTCGCGATGATCGACGCGCACTCGTCGGAGTCCCCCTGAAATAGCCCCCCACCTATCGCTCTGGGGCATTCTTCTTGGCAATCGATGTCGCGGTCGTTGCTGATGCCCCACGTATGTCCTGGCCCTTGGAAGGCGCCTCCTGTTCGCCCAGGCCTCGCGCCTCGTCTCACCGCGTCGTCGGAGCAGTAGGCGCTCGTTGCCAGGACTCGACCCACGCCTGTGGACGTGGTCGCGCGCAGACTGTCGCAGCCAGTCATTCACGCGAGCCGAGACTGCTCGGTTTCTTTCCAGATCTGCATCCAGCCCAGCACGCCCGCCCCGAAAACTCCAGCAAGTAAGCCCTGATCAGCTCGGCCGACAACCCCCGCACTGCCCGGCGTCTCGGCAGCAAGCGCCGGTCTGACCTCTGGTTCGAGTTTGTGGGATCGGAACGAGACTACGTTCATGATATCTCGATGGGCACTAGCCCCGCTTGCGCGCTGATCGGTGCCAGGACAGGCTCATCCCGCAGGCTCAAGAAGCTGCTGTCGCCCCATGCTAACAAAACTAGGTCCATGATGGACCTGGCCCCGATGTCTTGGCAGACCATCCAAATATCGGCATCGCGCTGAGCCTTGGTGACCACGCAGCAGTAGAACCTGATGTCCTCAGACGTCGCCTGAGTGACTCTGGACTGCGACTGTTGATTCCAAAGCATAGATCTTGTCGCGACTCCTCCAGCCATTCAAATCTGCCGCCACCTACGCACAGTGCTCCTCGTGCGGCCGGAGAATGATTGTTCTGCCTTTGCCCCTTGCTCGGGCATGTCTTCCGTGCGGTCACGTCGCATCCCTTACTGCTGGCGAATATCCCGAAATCTTTCTGGGCGAGCTTGATTCCCGCACGCACAAACTCCTCCGTCTGCCACTTGCCGCGCGGGAACCTCGGCTTCGGAGCCCTCGTGCACTCGGCCCAGGCGACGTCGCCGAAGCGGATCTGGTCGTCGCCCACGCGCGCGCCCACCGAGCTTTCAAGCCCGATACTTCCATGCCATCGGTACAGGGTTGGACGCGGCCCGTTCGTCTTCGCACCGCACGCGCCCACGTCGTCACCGCGCACTCGGTGCCACCCCAGGGGCGCGTCGTTGAATCCACGCACTTGCCTTCTGGCCCGCATACGAGGCACATCAAGCAGTCCTCCTCGAGGCACTCGAAGATAGGCCCCATGCAAATTGAAGAACGATTTCAGGAAAACCGCATCCACGTAGCCCTGCCCCAGAACGTGACCCAGCGTGCTTGCCGCGTGCATTTGCAGGTCCATCACGTCGACTGGCGAGGTCGGAGCGACCGCCTCTAGCGCCCCGAACATCGCGCCCTTGCCTTGAAAGCCTTTGCTCCCGATGCGTGCGCGTACATATGGCGGCACCTGGCCTGGAGTCTGGTTGCTCGTTCCTGGTACTTCATGTCGGTGTAGACTGCCCATGTCGACTATATTCGTGCTTGAGTCAACTTGCTGCATGTAGCTCATTCTGTCGATCGGAAAGAATGGAGTCGACCGTGACTCGCAAATCCCACTTCAACAACTCGGCACCCAGAACCTCTGAGCTCTGCACTGGTGCTGCCTCGGACGGCTCCTGAGATTGATACCTCTTTCTCCCTCTCTTTCTCTCTCTCCTCTCTCTCTCCTTGAGCCTCTTCCAAAATAGTCGCGCTACCAGATGCTGATCCGCCCAGATGACGAAGAATGCGCCGTGATCTGCAAGGCGAATACTCGGGCCATCCGCATCCTGCGCGAGGATTGGCGAATTGGCCAGGCTACACAGGGCGCGAGCGCCCAAGCCTAGAGGCTAGAGCCAGTTAAATCCGCCTCCTCCGCTTTGCAAAGGAACTTTCTTTAAAAATATGCTCAACACCTGTACACAGGCGCTCGGCAGCAGACAATTCTGCTTCCGTCACGGTGGAGCCCACATCAAACATGTAGGCTTCTGAGCACACGAGTGTCCACGGGCCATTCTCTGGAGCAACTTCAATCCAGCGGCCTCCTGCAGCACCCCCACGACTCACACCACCATCCCAGCATCCTCTGATGTATGTGATGTTTGTCTGGTTCTGTTTGATATAGTCATGCTTGTATATTATGTAGCAGTTTCCTTCCCTCGCATGGCGTGTCAGCTCATCAGCGTAGGCGTTAGCCTCTCTAGATATATGCTTCCAGAAATCCTTTCCGTAGGTAGGGCATCGTGTATTATACTGTTCACACATATTACACATATGTTGAATCCGGGCAATCCGTTTTGCGCACCCGTTGTTGTTACACGCCCAGACCCCCTCAACCATTGTACCACCGTCATACTGCCACCACACATTTCAATAGCAATCCCCTCCATCCCAGGGTCCCATATAGTAGTTTGTTCATGTATGATTGCAAGACGTCGGGCCAGCTCATCATTTGTCGG